GCACGTTTTCTTGTAAAAATGATTAAGCTGCTAATTAAGCTGTTTATAACTTGTTTCCCTGGTTGCTAATGATAATTAACATGCAAATTAGCCGAGGGAAGAGAGGCACAGGGGTCCTCAGTTCATTACCAAGTTAATTACTGTTTGCATACTTAAACATAACAGTTATAAATGGTGGCATTTAATGTAATGGCCAAGATGATAATTATACCAACGACATTTTGAAAAGTCATTTCAGTGTGTGCTATTTTTCTGGGTGATTAATGTTTCCATGGCTGATAAACTTACTCCAAACCCACGAGCTGGAAACAGCATAACCAGGCAAGTTATCCCTTAACAAGGTCTCCTTAGCCCTGTCTGTTTGTAAGGGAGGGAAGGAATGAGAGGAAAGAAGAGCAATCAAGCCTCAATATTAACAGAGGAGGAATAAAGTGGGCTGGTTAACACTGTCTGTTGAATTTGAGTTTAAACTTAAACAACTCACATCTGTGAGATGTTGGAACAGCTTCCCTTTTTTTATACCTCATGGTCTGTAATTCCATGTTACAGCAGTGCTGGGGATGCCTTCTGAGACTCAACCCATCACACCAGGCACCATCCTTGGCTTCCAGTGCTTATATCCCAAATAAACATAGGGAGTAACACGTCACACAACAGAAAGGTGACACTGGCCACTGGCACTGGGAAGGATGGGAGCAGAGGGCATTCATTTTGGAGGGACTTTGTTCAAGTGAACCTGTTCCCAACACCCTCACAGGACACAGATGTGCTGAGCTGGTTGGAAAAATCAGCCTGGCCGGGCTGATTATTGGGGTGAGAGAGATGTGAAATCTGGGAAGTTGAAGAGTTTGGCTCTCCAGAGGTCAGTCCTGCTCCCCGATTACACGTGGCCCAACTGCTCTCAATCTCAGTGGTTTCCATCTAGAAAATCTTGCACTTGCAAGTCTGGGCTGGGAAATGGCAGTGAAAGAACTCAAAGCAGGAAAAGTTTAATTAAGTTGGACTTAATCAAAGATTGGACTTGATCTCGGAAGTCTTTTCCAACCTGATTGTGATTTCAGCTGGGAATTTCTACCCTCCAGCCTTTGTATGAGGGGATGTGGCATCAGAGGGGAGGCAGGTCCATGAACATCATAAGGAAACACCAGGAACGTTGTAGGGGAACCTCCTTCACTCACCCCACGTGTTTCTGTTCAAAGTCAAGCACACCCACCTGGCTGTGGAACAAGCAGATCCACTTCCCTGCCTCTCATGGAGCCACTGCAGGACTCCCAGCACAGGGAGAACACATTAAATTATGCAGCTGCCCAGCTGAATCCCACAGTTCCAGCACAGACATCTCAGACAGCAAAGTCTGTGTGTGTGGTGACCTCTGGGTGCTTTGTGCTGCTGCTGCTTTAATCTCCACAATATAAACAAAGGGATTATTTCTTTCTCTAATGGAACAACCACGCTTCTCTCGTAATCTCACTCAAGTGCATCTTAATCCTGCTCCTTCTCAAGGAGCCCTGCAGTCCTTTGAGTCATCATTCCTACCGGGTAAACCCAGATCAAGACAGTCCAGTGCATAAACAGATGGTTTGGGCTTTCTGTGCCCACACACCTTCACCTCTGTGCACCCAGAGAGCACCAGGGTGCTTCATGTGCTGACACATTGATGTTTAAGCCTGGAAAGCCAAGTGAAAAGCCAAGACTGGCACTCACTCCTCGAGGCTTTACTGAGAAACTTGAGCCAAGGGGTAAATTTGGTAATGACCAACCAGATCCAGAGTGCTCTGGTCTAGTTGAAAAGGTGAAGGCTGGACTCGATCTTGGAGGTCTTTTCCAAGGCCTAAATGATTCTGTGATACAGAAAAGCACATAAAAGGCTGGCTGAAAATGTCCTGAACACGAATGTTCCGTGTCCCCTTTCCCAGCAGATCCCATCAGGAAGCAGATCTGTCGATACAAAGCTCAGAGTCTCCAACCCAAAGGAAAGCAGAGCTGGGGGGGAACACGGTGCCAGGGGTGCAAATTTCCTTCAGGAGAGAAGAATATCCTGGCTCTGTTTGACCCCAGAGCCACAGGCAGCCCAACCCTTGGGCAGCCCGTGGGTGTGGAACCGAATGAGCCTGGGGGTGAAATTTCACCCCGTGGTTTCACACATCACCAGAGCTGTGGGCACTGTCTCATTCAGCACAAACCACCTTCATTCCCCAGCCTGAATCCTCAGCCTGAAGGAGGGCAGGATCTGGTGTCTGCTCTCCAACCCAGGCACAGCTGAGAGTGAAGAATGACACTCAGATAAATCAAAGATTTTATTTTTTTTTTTACATTCCTGTTGCCCCACACCGTTACACCCCTTTCTGTCAAAGAAAATTCATTCTCTTCCTATTTTAGAACAAATTTTCAACACCAAATTACTGGTTTCTCACCTGCAGCCCCAGCTACACCTGGCACTTAAAAGCCCAAGGGAAGGGGTTTGTTACACACACTGGAGGCACCAAGAGCCTTTAGAAGAAAGAAGTGCAAGATTTCTCAGCCCTGTGTCTCTGAGACAGGTTGCTGCAGACACGTGTCAGTGCAGCTACTGCTCTGCAAAGCAGGGAAAAGCAAAATTTGCAAACTTGTGCTGCATTTACTCCCCCCCCCCCCACACACACACCTCCCTTTAAAAATTTATCTGTAATCAGAGACACCACGGGGAGCTATTGTGGTACACTTACTATTTAATGAGTGTGCAGCATACTCAATATTTAATGTTTGCATAAACATCTCCCCACTTTTCCCCCTCCTTGTGCTTCTGTGATCCTGGACAAGGAGCTTGTCACACCTACCCTACAGGACAAACAGCAAATAGTCTGGTGGCTTGAGAAGAACCTGAGGAGTTTTTAAGTCACAGCCCTGGTTCCACCACTTACAGCAACAGGTTTTCACACTGGGCTCCACTCACACACCTCAGCAAAATACTATTTTTCCATCTGCATCAAGCTCCTTAGATGCTGTTCCTCTCACTCCTTCAAGGACCAAAGTTAGGAACCTAAATTAATTTAAGCTCAAGTTTGATATACAATTGGTTGTATCTGTACCACCTGCCATAAAACCCTGAGTCAACAAAACAAGGCCTCCCCACAAGTTGTAACAACATCCCCTGAACCATCTGTGTGTAGCAGGGAGCACAGGGGACTCTTAAACCCGACCAGGACTCTTTCTGCTGGAAATGATGGATGGAGGACACTGCCATCCTCACGTTCTTCGGATCTACAAGGCAAAACGTGGCTGGAAGCAACTTCCAGCCCACTCAGTCATGCAGCAAAGTCAAATTATGGGTAATGATTTTTTGCAGCCCGGCCCACAATCCATCGGAGGCTCCGGCCTCGATTTTATTCCCACAAGCTCAATTCCTGAACCCCAGCGGGGGGGGCAGAGGTGTTTGATCAGCCCAGCTCCCTTTAATGTGATTTCTATTTCAGAACTGGCTCTTTTGATGCCCTCGAGTCTTTCTTGGCAATATCACCTGTGGCCCGATGTGACAGCAATGCTAAATTATATCTTGATGGCTAATTAGGGTAATTAAAGTGAAAGTAATCAAATCAACGTAATGAGCAAACTCTTAATAAAATGTCAAAAAAATCGCCATCCATCATAGAGGGGTTTTTTTCCTCTTTTGAATGTCAAGGAACATGGAGAAGGAAAGAGTTGGGCTTCAGAGTGGCCCTGGCTTAAAGGGACATTACCAGGCTGGATACTCCTAAAACCATAGTTGATTTACTGCCAAAACCCACTGTTGTTATTCAAACATAAGGGTTATTATTTAAAAATATGATTTCTCACTAAAAAATAAAGTTAAATGTGTAGGCTACACCACAGTTCACCAGTTTGTGTAATTCCCTATAGCTTGTCTTGCCGAGGGTCACAACTTGGGTTACCTTCCCAGGTGAGGAGCTGCTTGTCCCTAAGACAGAGGAGTCCTTTCCCTCGGGCTCCTTTCCCTGCGCATCCCGGCGTCCCGGGAGGAGGCAGGAGAAGCGCAGGGACCGTCCCCGAGCCCATCCCCGCCCGGATCGGGCTTTGTTTGCAGTCTCCAGGCAACAGAGCGCCCGCTCCTGCCCTCCCTCCCTCCCCGCCTCGTCTCACCTCAGCTCAGCTCAAGCCACCCCAGCTCCGCTCCCCAGGACCCACCGCACCCCCAGGCTCGTCCCCCGAGGGCCCCTCACCTGCGCAGGTGAGGGATGAGCCGCAGGAGCCTCGTCCTTCCCGCTGGGACCAAAGCTGCAGGTTCGCTTCTCCTTTTGCGAGGCGAGGGGAACAGGTAAGCGGGGGGTGAAGCATCAAGGAGCGGTCCCGTCTCCCCCGTGCCGATGGTTAAAGGTTCATCACAGGGGGGTCTCAGCCAGGGAGGACACAGCCCGGTGGGAGCCCGGACTCATCCTGGATGGTCCATGGGCAGGGAGCATTGCCCAGGCTGTGTGGCTGCTTCCCAGCCAACCTCACCTGGCTGGAAACTAAGAACCTCTGTGCTGGTTCTCCCCAAGAAACCTCTCAGTGTCCAGCCCCTGGCTTTTCACAGCACCTGGGATTGCTCATGTCCCTCAGCTGGGAGGAGGTAAAGTAGGAGCACCTTGTGCTCTGCAGCCCCTCACCCTGAACTCTCTACAACTCCCTGACAGGAGGGGGGAGCCAGGGGGGGGTTGGTGTCTTTTCCCAGGCAACTCTCAGCAGGACAAGAGGGCTCAGGGTCTTCAGCTGTGCCAGGGGAGGTTTAGGTTGGATATTAGAAAGAATTTCTTTCCAGAGAGGGTGCTCAGCCATTGGAATGGGCTGCCCAGGGAAGGGGTGGATTCTCCATCCCTGGAGGTTTTTAAGGACAGGCTGAATGTGGCATCAGTGCCATGGGCTGGGAACCACGGCGGGGTCGGATCAAGGGTTGGACTTGATGATCTGGGAGGTCCCTTCCAACCCAGCTGATTCTATGATTCTGTGATTCTATGATTTCTGTTTTACAGGCTCCAGCCCTGTCCCGGTGAGGGTGCAGAGCATGTCCCCCCAGGAGCTGGCTGCCCTGCTCTGCGGGGAAGGGGACCAGCACCTCGCCCAGCAGGACCTGCCCACAGCCACCACCTTCTACCTGGCTGCCTTCAGCTGCTGTGCCCCCACAGCAGAGCAGAGGGTGACCCGCATGGACAGCGGGCTCCGGGAGCAGCTCATAGCCACTCTGGAGACCTGGTGCCAGGGCAAGGGGCAGATCCCCAGGATCCAGAGCAAGCACCTGGCCGTGGTGTCCCTCAGTGTGGGGATAGCTGCCTTCTTCCTCTCCGCCCTGAGCCCCAACAACGTGGTGTCCTCTCTGTACGAGCTGGAGGCTCTGCTGCGGCGAGGGCGCCCGGAGGAGGTGCTGAGGAGATGTGATGTCCTGCTCCAGGCTGGCCCGGGGTGCCCCATGGAGCTGCTGCTGCTCAGGGCCCTGGCATTGGTGCTGTCGGGGTCGGGGCTCAGGGAGGGGGTGGCGGGGTACGTCCAAGCCTTCGAGCTGCACGGGGCAGAGGCGGTGGCCCACGTGTGCAGCAGGCAAGGGGAGCACCTGCCACGGGTCATCCAGGCCTTCTCCAGCTACCTCTCGACGTGCCAGGAGGAGAGCCCAGACTGCAGCTCCTCGGAGCAGTGGCTGGGCAGCTGCTGGGGCTTCCTGGCTGCGGTGGCACCGGGGGATGTCTGGGTGTGCAGGCTGCAGGCAGCTCACCTATTAAAAACAGGCAAATTCCAGGAGTGCGTGGATGTTTGTACCAAGGCCCTCGAGGGCTTCTCAGCTGGTCAGCACAGAGATGAGGCAGTTTTGGGTCTGCTCCTGGAACGGGCTGCTGCCTATTTCTCCCTGGGTGGACGGATGGAGGAAATGATGCAGGATTTAGCAGAAGCCTTTGCTGCAAACCCTGCCCAGGCCAGGAGACACTTTGAAGAGCTTTTCTCACCCTGTGACGCTGAGAAGGTTGAAGAGCAGGCTAGAACTGTCCTGGAGGGGAGGTTTGCAGCATACAGGGAGGCCGTGCGGGCTCGCACCGAGCTCAGGGGCAACCGTGGGGCTGAACTGCTCCCTCCTGTCATCCAGACCATCCAGCTCCTCCTGCACCTCTGCCCGGGGTCCCAGAGGGAGCTCAGTGTCCGTCTGGCAGAGTGCCAGCTCCTGCAGGGCCACCCCGGGGCTGCCCTGGGCATCTGTGACCAGCTCCTGGCAGCAGAGCAGAGAACTTACCACAACACCCTGCTGGCACTGCGAGGGTTCTGCTCCCTGCATGCCCAGGACCACCAGCAGGCCCTGCAGGACTTCCAGAAGGTCATTGAGCACGATTCCCCACATCCCAACAGCTGCATTAAAGCCTTGTGTGGCCGTGGGCTTGTCCGCATTGCTGGTGGCAGCTCTTACCTGACAGCCCTGGATTACATCACTGCCTGCCAGTTAAAGCTGGAGGAAACCATCTTCACCATCAAGTCCTACGTGCCATGGAACCAAAGGGGACTGCTGCTGAAAGTTCTCCAAGAGGAAGGACAGAGGATGCTCCAGAAGAAGAGGTACCCAGGGGGGCGGTTCGGTTCATTTTCAGAAAAACAAACAGCGCTGGGCAGATTCCTCACCTTGAAGGTGGCTTGTTTTGTCATTTTTTTTCCCCTCCAGAGATGCCCCTGGGGTTTTCCAGCTGGCCTGTCTCTTGGTGGAGCTGGACACTGCTGATGAGGCCTCCAGGATCCTCTGTGCTGATGCCCTGTACCAGATGGGCCGTGGAGAAGAAGCCCACAGGCTGCTCTCGCTGGCCCTCTCCAGGAACCCCCAAAGAGCTCCTGTCCTGGCCAGGCTGGCGCTGCTGCAGCTGAAGAAAGGGTTTGTGTGTGATGGAAACCAGGTAAGGAGCACCTGGAAAAGCTTCCCCTTCAGGGTCATCCCCTCCTGAACATTTGTCTGGCTTGGCACTGCCTGTCCCAGACCTCAGTGAAATTACAGATTAATCCTCGTGCTCAGTGCTTTGTGTGCATTGTCCTTTTACAAATAAACTTTTTGCTGTTAGAAACTCCAGGAACAGCAACAAGGAGAGCTGTTGACACAGTGGAGTTTGGAGCCCACGTGAGGTTTAGGTGATTCAACCTCTAGCAAAACTTTTAAGATCTAAATACAGGCCTGAGATGCACCAGAATCACAGGACTTTCTGTCTGTAGCATAGGACACACTCAGCTAAATCCAGCCCATTCCTCTCATGGCTCTTTCCAGCAGAGACTTAAAGCAGGCAGAGCATGGCTGAGCATCCTGCCCCCAGGGACAATATTGTGGGATTGGTGATTTTCCCCAGAGAAAAGAAGGCAGCAGTGCCACCCCACTGATTGTCCCAATGAAGCCCTGGAGAGCAGGGTGGGGAAAGACACAAAACCTCCAATATCAGTCTGCAGTTCTCTCCCTTTAATGCTCGTGTTTGAAACCCTGGAAGATGTTCCAGCATGTTTCATCCTCCTGCCAGGGATTGCAAAGCTGAATTCCCGGGTTCTGCCATCAGAGGGAACTATTGCATTTTTTAAAGTGCCTCATAAATGCTAACCCTAAAGAGAAAGGTTTTAGTGTAGCCACTTCACTACTCCCCGTGAAAAGTAAAATTTGGTGTAATTTGCTGCCTTTGGGAAGGCTGTTAATGAGTGACATGGCTTTATCAGAGTCCATGTGCTGCCCCTGGAAGTTGGATTCCTATCTGCAGCTTCTGCTGCAAGTTCTGCATGGGAACACACATCACCAGAAACTTCTCTTCAAAATGTTTTCATCCCACCTGCCTGTGGGAAGCCAAATGCTTTTATCTATTAATAAAATAGAAAAAGTAATAACTTCAATGGATGTGTCTGGTGCATCAGGATAGCTTTGTTCTTGTCCTGGCTTCCCTGGCTCAGATTTGAATATCCAGTACCTGCTGGTTGCTGCAGAAAACACCTTTTGATTCATTTCCATAGGAAATGTGGTAAAACCTTGCCTATGAATCTCACTGCAGTAAATGGAGGCAAAGATACCACAGGTCAGGCAAGATTCTTTTCCAGGAGGAAAACAGTTTGTGGATTTGAATCCATATTTTTCCCAGATTCCCAATAACAACACTAAAAAAAGGCTCAGCACTTCCCTGACTTTCCATTAACTCACTAGTTTTGATTTAAAGTCAAAAGGGGTCACTGGAATCCTTCTGTGCCACAGGAAGGTTCTATTTTTGGGGGCAACCCTCCTGTGGTTCATCTGTATTTATACAAACACTTCCCTGCCAGTCTGGAGCAGATGCTGCCCAAAATAAACCAGGCAGCACCAGGCATTTCCCCACAATTGTTTCCACAGCTGGAGTGGTGAGGAGAAAAGATAAGAACTGATGTTTTCTCCAACATGCATTTACAGCAGAGCCAGCTGAGGAGTTAAATATGAGATTCCTGTCCTTGGCTGGACCCTGGCTGGGAGAAGCCCCAGGGGGAGGTGGGGAAGTGCTGGGTGGGAGCAAACTGGTCTCACCAGGCAGTTTAACACAACTTCACATCTCCTCACGCAAATCTTCCTCTGCTGCCTTTCTCCCTTCCATTGTTAAGCTGCTACAGAGGGTGATCAGGACTGGAGATACCTCCTGCCTCCTGCCCATCATGGACATTTTCCAGGCTGAGGACAGGAAGCTGATGCAAACCCACTGCCATTTCCAAGCACTGGCCATCCTGGAGAGCCAACAGGAGGATGTTCACATCAAAGAGGCCATTGCCTACCTGTCCTGTGCAATTATTGCTGCAGGTAGGGCATCAAGGTACCAATGGAGATGGACTTCCAGGGGAAATCAGATCAGTGGGTGGGACAGAATGTCCAGCCAGTTCTCAGCTGCCACCTCCCCAACAAGAAGACTGGAACAGCAGGGTCATCTGCACCATGGAAAGGTGCAATAAAACAATAAATAATAAGTGAACAACCTGTGAATTCCTTGGAATGGGTTGCAAGTGTTCAGTTCAGTTCTGCAGTTCAGTTCTGAGCCAGAGAGCCCAGCCTGTGCAGTTCCAGTGCAAAGAGTGAGTGCAGCCACTCCCATGGGATCACTGTCCCAGCTTTTCCCGAGGAGGGAGCTCAGGCTGAGGCGGGAACGCTGCTGGCATGTTCCAAGTGAAACCATGTTTGTATGGAAATCTGCCTTTCACTCCGAGCAAATGTTATGACAGCAGCACTGAGGAGAAGAGAGACTGGCTCATGAAAATGGAAAAAAACCCTGTTAATTGCCTGGAGATGGTTCCATTTCACAGCCCCTGCGTTCCAGCTTATCAGCTCCCCACCTGCTAGAACAGATGCTTGTTGAGAAATGGAGATTGTCTTTATAGGAGCCAATTGGTCGAGCTCCAGAGTGATAATAACCTTTGGTACAGGAGTTTTGGAGCATATCAGGAGGGAGAAAAAGGCTCATTACTGTAACAGAATTGCTTGGAGCCTGTCTGCTGGCTCATCTCTGCAGGCAGCTGCGTTTGCTGACCTTCCCATGAAAACATATTTCCAGTGGCACTGATGATTTATCATCCAGTACTGGGATGCCACAGTTATGGATTGCAACCCTGGGCATGTTAAGATCCTTATCGAAATTGCCTTGAAAGGAAGGGGCATGTGGATGGCAGGAAGATAAATGCTCTGCAGCCAGGGAGTGGATGGACCAGGATTTTCACTGTCAGCTCTATGTGTTTATTTGGGCAGCACTTATGTGAAAGCAGAGGGGAAAAAAAAAGGCAAAAAAAAAGCTTAGTATCCCAAGTCCCAGTGCATATTAATTCTGGCAGGGAATTAGTCAGTCCCATCTGGATTACTCATTTATCCCAAACAAAGTGTACCTTCCCTGCCAGTGGTAGGGGGTTGGACTCTTTAAGGTCCCTTCCAACCCAAACTATTCTGTGATTCTGACTCCACTTCACTAAAGCAGCCAAATGGCTTTGTGCCTCCACTCTCACATCCCCACAGATCTCCTCCTTGGAGCTTTTCCTCTCATTTGTGCAGCTCCTATTCCAACCCGACACAGATTATTTTTCCCTTTCAACTCAGAAGTGATAATATGGGATAAGAATTCCACTTGCAACAAAAATAAAGGAAACTTCCACTTAAGCCCTCTCGTTGCACTTCCTCAAGTATCCTCAGGCAAAGTGGAATTTTTCTCTGGCTTCCTGTGGTGAGTGACCATGGCTGCATCCCTGTCCCCAGGTGGTGGTGCTGGGGATTGCCTCCTCAGCAGGGCTCGCTGCTACGGGCGCCTGGGGCAGATGAGAACTGCGATTTTTGACTTCAATGCCATCCTGAGGGAGGATCCCAGGAACGTGCAGGCTCTGAGCGGCCGAGGGTTCGTGTTCCTGGCTCTGAGGCAGCAGAAGGTAATTCCACCGTGCTGGTTTCCTGGGGGTTATTCTGAGGGTGTTAAACAACATCAGGGCAAGGCATCACAGAGTTTGTCATGAATTCAAGTTTCTCACAGAATGTGGGCAGTGAAAGGCTCTGGTTTGGGCTGGGTGTAAAACCAGCCCACCTGATATTACTGGTCTGTTTTCCCAAGCCTAGAGGGAGGAAAACTAAACCTTAGTCACGATTTTCAGTGATAACCCAAGGAGTTCCAAACACTTTGCAAACAGCCATCCAAACCTGCCTTCCTGCCCTTCTACCAGCTTTGCAAATGGAAAAGATGCAGGACAAGGACAGGGCAGAGCAAAGAGTTTCTGTGGGAGAGCAGGGAACTGAAAGCACCTGAGAGAACAAATGACCAATATTTAGTTGTTGCTTCCATTTCATTCCTCGGTGTTGTTTTTCCACAGGAGGCAGTGCAAGATCTGATCTCGGCCCTGAAGGTGGAGGCAGGAGCAGTGATCCCAGCAATCCTGTCCCTGAAGGGTGAGGCCCAAGAGCTGCTCACTGGGTGGCTCCTCCAGCACGGCAGGGCTGCGCTGACCCAGCTCGTGGCCACCAGAGACACCTCGAAAGCAGAAACCCTCAGGGACCTCCTGGTGATTGCAAGAGCACTGATCAAAATCCGCAGGGCTGCACAGTATCACATCTTCTACACAGATGTTCTGATTGCAAGTGGTGAGTCCCAACCCTTTGGCACAGCTGGTCGGACTCGGGGGGTGAGCAGTGAGCTGAAAGGCAGGGAATGTTCAATGGCCAAGTGTGTTCTGGGCAGCACTTCTCGAGAGCAGCCTGGAAATGTTCTGGGAAGGAATTTGAAGTCATTAACACCTTTAGGTGTGGGCTGTGCACAGGCTTCCTAAATCCTGCTTTGGGGGGTTTTCTTGGTGTCTCTCCCCCCAAGGGATGGGTTATGCAGCTTGTGCTGGTGTCACCCCACAGGGAGGTGTGAGGAGGCCCTGACCCACCTCCAGGGAGCCTTTGGCCACTGCCCCACCGAGGACTGTGCCAGGGCACGACTGGCTGTGCTGCAGCTGAAGAGGAGGGACGTGGCAGGAGCAGCTCACTCGCTCAGTGCCCTGGCCCAGAGAGATGAAAGGGAGCTGGAATTTCTCCTGAGCTTCGTGGACACCAAGCAGCAGCAGCAGCTGGCTCAGGTACAGCCCTCTTTTTGATCCACACCCAGGGATTCAGTGGGAAAAGAAATGGGAGGCAAAACCAGGCTGTGGAGATTTTTCCCTGCCTTGTCGTGAGCAGAAGTGTGGGGGAAGACCTTTATATTCACATTTGTATAACATTACTGGCCTTTGAGATTGGTTTTCTAAGCTAAAACTGTCGGGCACAGCAATGGCATATTGCTCCAGCCCACCCAAATATGTATCATCAGGCATTTTTTTTCAAATTTCAGACATTTCAAATATCAGATATTTTTTTCAAATTTCTCCCCCAAGCTCTGAGAAAGAATCTCCAGTAATAAGACAGGATAAGTCCAGATTGATGGTGAAGAGTTTTAACACTCAGTCAAGCATCTGCAATTCTGATTACCCAGAAGCTCTGTGCTCTGAGAAGCAGTTTGCTTCCTTTGATTCAATTTGGGGCTGGTGTGCGCCCTGGTGAGAACTTATATTGTTATGCTCTCTCCCAGGTTATAAAACAAACAACACGCTGACACACTTAATGCATCGAGGGGAGTACTTGGGATGGATTTTAACAAAACAGCAGGAGGATATAAGTAAACAAGTATTAATTTACCAGTCCCCAGATGTGCCCCATTACAGAGAAAAGAGCCCCTCTCTTCTGAATAATGTAAAAAGTTCAGTCTTGTGGGGGAGAGTTTGAAGGTTTCGGAGCCAATTTGCAAAATCTTCCACTTTGGAAGGCTGATAAAGGTACAGCTGAGACTGTGGCTGTGGAGGCCCTGAGGAGGTGTCTGTAAATGAAGATGCATTTTGCAGCTGAATTTCCCTTGCTGCCACATCACTCCTTCTGTGGGGAAGTCTCTCAGCTAAATCCACCCGTGCTGCTTTGTGAGGCAACACAGGAGGGATATTCTTGTGCTTCAATAAGAAAAGAAGAAAGAGAAGGGAAAAAAAAAAAAAACAAAACCAACCCCCAAACTGGTTTTTCTAAAGGTTAAACTGCACTGATGTGTCAGAACCCACTGGTGCCACGGGTGAGTGAAGCCTTTAAAATGGGAGAGGCTCTTTGTCTCTGTCTTGAAATAGAGAAATGAAAGATTTCTCTGCTAACTTGAGAGAAAAGGGGTGACGGGACTGATTTCAAAACTGGAACTAAATACCAGTGTTAGGAGTTTGAATAGAAAACATTAATCTCTTTTATATTCTGCTTTTGCTCAACTGAGTAAACATTTGAGCTCAAGCACCTGGGCCTTTTTCTATGTATTTTGTGACAATAAGTGTTTATTTTCTGGGGTGGGGAAGGAATTGGTTCATTCACCTGCCTGGTGCCTCAAAGCCCTTCCCAGCAGCACTTCCTTTTGCCTGCAAGGTTATTCCAGTTTGGGAGTGAAAGGAAGATCTCAGTGAAAGAAAAAATACATTTACAGGCAGAATTAGTGCCAAAATGATGGCCTTGCTTTGCCATGGCTCCCAGGCACACCCTGGGAGAGGCTGTTCTCTGTCACCCCCATCTCCCAGGTGAGGAGGCTGCAGCAAAGCAGAGCTGAGTGGTTCAACACCCAGCCCTCAGCCTCAGCCCTCCAGCACAGCAGCATTTCTGCCACATTGTTTTAGAGCGTTTGGAGGTTCTAGAAACGTGTCATCATCACCCTGGAGTCTGGTCTGAAGGGCTAAAAATAATCCCCCATAAGCTGAATAGGAAAGGGTGGAGGAAGGAGAGAGCTCCTTGATGTACTCAGTTTTTTTCATGAAAAACAAAGCAACGAAATTCTCCCATTTATTTATAGCCTGAGGGGTCCCACGCTAAGAAATTTGTAAACAACTGGGAGAGCCCCCTGGGAATAGGAATCTGAAAGATTTATTAAGCTGCAAAAGGTCACAGGAAGGGAGTTTGCTGCTGCTGGTGCAGCTTCAACCCTTTGGTTTCCTAAGCCAGAGGTTCCCAACTCCTCACTGGATCCTCAGAGCTGTGGACATGCCAGAGGATATCCAGACCTCCACAAAAATGGTTTCTAAAACTGTATGGTCTGTGATGGAATTAGGCCCTTAGCCCAAGGTGAAGTTGCCATTTCACATTCCTTCAGGGAATGTGCAGGTGAAGAAGGAAGGACTTGCTCCAAACTGCTCTGAAAGCATCCAACCCTCTCCCAAAGCTCAGTGTTCATCAATCCATCTTCTGGGATTTAGTGCTCAGGGACTAACCCTTGGCCATAATTCCATTTCCATTAAACTCCTCCCTCCTTTCCTTTTTGAGGAATTGGATCTTGGTCACCTGCAGCACAAGGTTAGTCACTGGGGACTGGAACCAAAAACGACCCCAAAATATGTGTAATTTCAGTCCTTTATCACTCAGTGAGGTAAAGGGATGGAAGAAAAGGACACAGAGACCTGACCAAGGGAGCCCAGTCACCAGGCTCACACAGAGCCCTTTCGGGTGGCACCAGAATTATTCCATTCTGGAAGCCAAAATCAAACATTTAGTGACAAGTTTGAATAATTTTTTCCCCCAAGTCCAGCAAGAAATGCAGAATCCTGTGGTTTGCTCACTCTGGGGACTCCCAGGGAAGTGTGAAGAAATGGAAGCAGTGGCTCAGTTAATAAATGCAATATTGTATGGGTGCAGTAACCCAAAACGCTGCTGAAACCTTCAGCATTAGGTTAGTCACCCAGCAGAACAACAAAAATTGTATTTTCTTCTGCCTTTGAGACAACAAATGCACTTTAAACACTGAAAATGACAATTTAACTACACAAACACAAGGTGTTTTGAGGAATTGCACTGTGTTCTCTGGAACAATGTGATCTAGAACTTTGGAATTTCTGGGGGAAAAAAAAAACATCTTCTGTTGCCAGCTGCAGTTCCACCTTGACCCCTTGTTAAAACCCTGCCACTGAGGAAACACTTGCATTGACTGGTTGTCTTAAATACATTTCAGAGCACAAATTAAACTTGCTGCTCTTTAAATGTATGTGCAGATATCTGAGGGGGGGGTTGGCCAGGCTGCCTCACAATTTACAGCCAGAATTGTTAAAGCCAGGGATTGACACTGACTGGGGAGAGGTCCCACTGCTATTTGCATGTGTGGAAATTGAGAGACTCTCTAATAAATATGATTATATAAAGGATTTTACATTTATATAGCAAACCAGCAAAATATACGTATATTATTATATATATTCTATGCATTATAACAAAATAACTGGGGTGGAATTCCTCACAAACCATTAGGAGTGGCTAAATTATTCCTGCTCAGACCTGCCCTGCAACACTGACCCCTCTCATCCAGAACTGTTTTCCTCAGTCCTGTTCAACAACAATCAATTCTAATCAAAGTCAACCAAAATAAAAAGGCACATAAAGGGACTGGGAGGCCTGGCCTGGCTGTCCACTGGGGCTGCTGAGACAGTGCCTGGGCTAACTGGGTTCTGGGGGGCCACAAGCATCCAAAAGGAAGTGTTAGCCCATAAAATGAGAGTGATGAAAATATTTATCCTTTGCTGTTTGGCTCAGCCTTTTGTAAGACCCCACTGCTGGTGGCAGCCTTGTTTATAACTTAAATATTCACTCTGCTGCAGCACCTTAAAAGCTTTATTTATTACCAATAAAGGGAAATAATGAGAAATCCATTTGAGGCAAATCGTTCTAATGGAGTTTTCTTTATTGACCTCCCTGCACCTAAAAATTATGTGGCTCTTTCTGCCTTCTCTGTTTTCCTGTTGTTGTTTTTCCCTTCAGACAGGGGCAGAGAATTCACTTGCACTCGAGATTAATGATTAGCAAAGACATCAGGTGGCCTTTTTATCCTCCAGCTTGGGTGAACTTCGGTAGAGACCAAAACCTTTGTTATCAGCACATGAAGATATTTGTGGGGAGGTTGGTCTGTGCAGATTTTTGTTCATCTTTCCTGAAGAACATCAACGAGTTCAGAAGAAATTCTGACAAACTTGTAGGCAAACATGCAGGAACAAAGAATCATAGAATCATAGAATCATAGAATCATAGAATCATAGAATCATAGAATCATAGAATCATAGAATCACAGAGTCAGGTGGGTTGGAAGGGACCTCTGAGATCATCAAGTCCAACCCTTGATCCAACCCCGCTGTGGTTCCCAGCCCATGGCACTGATGCCACATCCAGTCTCATCTTAAACACCTCCAGGGATGGAGAATCCACCCCCTCCCTGGGCAGCCCATTCCAATGGCTGATCACCCTCTCTGCAAAGAAATTCTTTCTAATATCCAACCTAAACCTCCCCTGGCACAGCTGAAGACCATGTCCTCTTGTCTCACTGATCATTTCCTGGGAGAAGAGACCAACCCTGACCTGGCTACACCCTCCTGTCAGGAGGGGGGGGTTCAGAAACTCCTGACATAACGGCAAATGATCCAAGAGTTTTACACCTGCAGGCAAACCCGGAGAATGGGGTTAATCCTCCAACTGGGTGCAACCACAACTTTTAAAAAACACCTAAAATTTTTGGTGTCTGTGTGCGCGACCATTCCAGCATGGATGTTTTCCTGGTTTTTTTCCACTCAGTGCCTAACCCCAAGTCCCTTTGTCCCCGCAGGTGGCTGCCCAGCAGGGCCGGGTGCTGGTGGCAGGGCAGCAGTACGAGAGGGCCCTGGGGTTCCTGTCCCTGGCCGTGGTGGCCGGAGGGTCCAGCCCGCGCTCCCTGCGCCGCAGGGCCCAGTGCCTGGGGCTGCTGGGGCAGCACCAACGGGCCCTGGCAGACATGGACACCCTGATCCGGGGGCACGGCGGGCACAGCCCGAGGACACGAGCAAAGGATCTGTGCTCCAGGGCCCTGCTGCTGCTGGCCGTGGGGCAGGAGGAGGCGGCGGTCCAGCAGTACATCCAGGCCCTGCGGCTGGACCGGCCCGCGGCACTGGGCAGCATCTCGGAGCATCCCGGCAGCCAGGCCCTGGCCAGGACCTTCCACAGGATTGCACAGCAAAACTTGGAAATGCAGCATTATGAAGAGGCCTGGGAGGTCATGGATTATGGGCTTCAGATTGATAAAACCCCCGAGCTCCAGAGGCTGAAGGCGAGGCTGAAGCGAGAGGCGTCGGGCTGCAGCATCCACTGATTTCCCTGCTCGGGGATTTTCCACTCTCTGGTTGCTGCGTGGTTTGTTTGTGAGGCTGCAGGAGCAAGGGAAAGATGAGGAGCTCACAATAAATATGCAACAGATGAGAGGATGAGAGATGTAGAAGAATGAGAGGATGAGAGAAGTAGAAAGTTTCAGGTGGTGAAGCAAAACTGACCAAGAGAGCCGTGGGGAAAAAGGGGAGTTGCAGCATTCAGGATTCTCTAAAATTATTTAAAAATTATTGTGGATTGTGTAAACTCCCCCTTGGGAAGAAAGCTTTCTTCTGGCTAAACTGAACTAATTCTAACACAGGGGTTCCAGTCCCAGTGAAGGAAATCATTCAAATGGCTTGCAGCTTATGAATAATAATCATGTATTTCCGTGACATTTGATTAGCTCTAACACATACTATTCAATTAAATGGCCTTATTTTTATGGGCCAGTCAAAAAGATCAGTCAAAAATAACTTTTGTCATGTGTTTGTGAAGGACCATGTGTGTTACACCCTCTCCTGACCCACTCCTGGGTGGAAGGCTCTGCCCTTGGCAAAGTGCAGTGGATTTGCACTGATCAGCACCAATATTGGACAGTGGAGCAGCACAGATGCCAAGTAAACTGTTTTACTAGCACAGGGAACAATAAAACAATAGATAACATGAAGGATGAGACTCAACAGAGATGAGATACCCAGTCCTGGGAGTCCTGCCCTGTTATCTGGGACACACAGGCAGCCGGACTCCAGACTTCACCTGGGGCTGCCAGGTCCCGTGTCTCTGTTTGCCAGAGCAGATAATGGGGATGATCTCTCTGTAGGGGTGTTTGTCAGAGGTACTAAACACCATCCTTCACACTCCTGGGTATTCAAGCACCAAAGCTGGAGCATGAACTCCCCGGGAATGGTCCATGTGCAGCAGGAGCTGGGGCTGGAGGCAGCGGCCAAGGTGCTGCTGCTGGGGCTGCTCTCAGTGCTGCAGCTCTCCCTCATCCCTCCCCATCCACAGGGAACAGCACAGGAATCGGCCTCTGGAATGCTCAGAAGGGGTTTGTTTGCCTGCTGTCATGTGTCTGGTTTCATCACTGGCAGGTGATGCCCCCATCACAGGCTTGGGGGCACCCCAAATTTACTGCTGGTACCTCCCCTGTGCGATGGGGACCCTCAGCTCAGGAGGTTTCCCACAGAAGAAACAAGGTGGGACCCAAAACAACCACCTCCTCTGTTTGTTTTGGCTTCTCCAAGTGACTTCTCCTGATGTTTTTGGAGTGTGATAATACAACCACGGGGGAAAAACAGAAACTACCATTGAAAACAAAGATCAAAGCAGTGCTGAGAACTGCTCTCCTGCTTTGATTGGGATGAAAGGGAGAGGGAGCCTTTTCTTTTTTGTTATATTGTTCTCTCAAAGGCAACAATCCAGAGTGAAACTTCATTCAGCAGCCAAGCAATCAACCCCAGAGCACTGACATCATCTGTAACCTTCCACCTCCCATCTCATTTTCCCTCTCTGCATGTTCCTTTTCTGCCCTAAGAGCACAGCTGAGACTGGGCTTCTTTCCCTTCGAATTCAAGAAGAGTTACTTTGATTTTAATCCCAGTGACACTGATGAGTACTTTCCCCCCTGTTTGGCATCAAGATGCTATTGTTTCCACTTCTTTCAGGTTGAAGAATCTGGCTAAAAAAACCTGCAGTGATCATTTCTATAAGTTTCTGTAGTGTTATGCTGCAATTCATGGAGATTATGAGCTGCTTCCAACTGCTTTGAGACCCATCCCTCACTCTGTGCATGGTTGAATACTTAAAAAAGGGACTCTATATAATAGAGAGTCTTTAGTGCTTTAGGACATACCCTTATGGCTTGGTGCTGTAAATGTTACAAAACTGTGAAGAATTCCAATGTATTTGTATGAATCAAGGCTAATGTAATCAGGAAGAGAATATGGCCTAACAAACAGTGAAACTGGATACCTCTTTGTAATCCAGCTTGAAGCTACAGTCATCCCAAGGAAAGATTAAATACCTGTAGTTTATTCAACTCAGAGTTCTATAACGACACTAACAAATAATTCTTCTCTCTCCATGAATTTTGTTCCTTTAAAGTATCCTGCAACCTTAAAACACAGAGGACTTTGTTGTGCATCATCACCAGGTAATGAACACTGAAAGAAACCTGAAATCATGGCTCAGAATGCTCCTACACAAACAGCTACCTGCCAGCTTTGCCTCTCTGAAGTATCCAACATTCCTTTTAAGTACAGAAAAGGAAAATCAGATGTGAGAATATTTGCATCACACAGTCAGACGAGTGAAGTTTCCTGACCTCATGCTCTGCAGTCCAGCAGGCAAAGAACAGCTTAGAAATGATGGCAAAGTGTTTGGAATCAACTGTTCAACTGGAAGCTGTTCCTCGAGTTCAGACAGAGCTGAACTTTGAGCTTTTGTGACCTCAAAAGGTTTCATTTCCTCTAAAATCCTCTCGCTCCCGTTAATTTTTTTATTTCACTTGGTTATGTGCTGCCGGGTACTGAGAGAGTCTGAACAATCAGCCAACTTCTGCAACTGCCTTAAAAGCTGACACATCTCCTGGGAATTCATCTTCCTGACTTTCAGGCTGAGCCCTTGTGCTCCCCAGCCCTGGAGCTGTGGGAGTGTGGCCCTGGCTCGGGGCCATCAAACCCAGGGACATTAATGAGCTTCCCCGTGCCCGGGTGAGGACACTGCATCCACTTGCAGAGGCAGATGTTTCACTTTAATGACAGCTAATCCAAAAGCCATTTCTTTTACTATCCTTTCCCTGCAGAAGATGAACTGTGTTATCATGACACTGCTGCTGCATGGAGCTGTTTCCAATTTGCCAGGGCTGCCACCATCAATTTGATGTGTGACATGGAATTATCACTGCCAGGGTGCTCTGGCTTTGGAGCCTCGGCCATTTCAGCTGTGTTTCAGATAAACTGGTCTGTGCTGGAATCTGCTGGCTCAGTTGGCCATTTCTCAGTGGCACCTGAAGAAAAATGACTCCTTATTTAGCAGGCACAGCATCCCAGAGCTGTGGGATTCAGAAGACTCTTTCTCCTCCCGCTCCTGCTCCGTGTTCCAGGAGTGACTTTTTCTGCAGGGTGCCAAGGAATGCTGCAGACCTCACCTGTGTGTGCAACTCTGACACCCCAAGCACAGGAGCATTGGTTTATTTGCTCCCAAAAGTGCTTGGAGGGTGGAAGGCAGGCAGCTGATGTTGGTGTCTGTGGCACTCAGGAGGTGGGGACATACGAGGGCAGGGGAGGAAGGAATTGCCACCCAGATGGCAAGGTTAGAGAACATGGGCCAGTCCCAAGGTGTGGCAGCAGAGAGAGGAAAACAGCCTTGATCACAGTGATGTTATTTTTGGTTTCTCACTGAGAGAGGGACAAAGGCCAGTCCTGGCCCTCCCTGATGTCACAGCCTGGTGCCACCGACCCCGTGGGTGCCACACCTCAGTACAGGTGTGGAACCCACACGTCTGAGGCACTTGTAACTATTTCATTTTCAGTTCTCTTCCCATCCAAAGTTTATCTTGGGCACGTGATGTGTGGCCAAACCCTCCCTGAGGCTCTGGCAAGCCCACCCTGTGCTCCTGACAGCCCCTGAGGACCTGCCCTGTGTGCAGAGCAAACCCTGCCACATCAGCTGTGGCTTTAGGGTTGGCTCACCACCCAACCCAATCATTTTTGTGTCTGTGTGTTCCCTGCACAATCCCAAAAAGCCAGGAGCTGCAGAGAACAAACGAGCACAGGAATTTCCCCGGGGACTGTAAAGGAAATTAAGAGCAGTGTCTGATAATCAGTTTGTGGGGCTCGTTCTGAGCTGTGTCACAGTCGATGAGAAAATGTAGCTGCAAAGCCAGAGGGGGGTTGTAGGAGGGAGCAGGAAGCACAGGAGGATGTTAATGATCCCATTCCAGTCCTTGGTTTCCATTTTGTTGTGCCCCTCAGTTGTGCTTCCCTCTCCAGGTCAGTGCTGCAGATGCCCAGTGCCAGACACCAAACACACCTCACCCAGTGTGAGGGACAGGGACCTGCAGCCACGAGGGAGCCCCGGGTTTGGATCCAGATCAGTAGTGGATGAAATGAAAAACTGACAGGGATTAGTTTTTTCCCACTTAAAATGACCATCTCACCGAGCATCTTGATTGCTTGGAAAGCTCAGATGTCCCATTATGAGACATTCCAACCCTCGTAATACACTCACTGTGTTCTCCAGAACTCCCATTAAAATCCTAAATGATTAGGAACACCTCTGAGTGCCTGTCACGGTGTAGGGTTTGTTCTTTCACTGCAGAGTTTAACAATAGAGACAATTATACCCTGCCATTTTCTTATTTTTTGCAGCCTTGCCAACAGAATTCTTGCAATGTTGTTTCTTTTCTTCTCATGCATCATTTGTCCATTCTTGGGCAATAAAACCTGCTTACTGAAGTAAACAGGTAATTAGCCATCTACGTAAATTGCCCTGTGTCTGCACCATTAATGTGTTTGGATGTTTTAATTGATTGCATTCTCAACTGGTTTGGATGGCTTAAATGCCAGCTAATGCAATCCAATTAAGTCCACTAATAAACCTGACTGATGAACTGCAATATAATCACACATCAAGCAGAGATGTAGAGGAAAATGCCACGGAACTGACAGTTTGGAATAGGCTGTGTCACTTTGAAAGATCCAAATCACTTCTCAACAGGGGAAACTGGGAAAATCAACTCTAACTGGTGCTGGAGTTGGTCTCCAAGACCTGATCCAACACACCCTTTAAGCCAATCTCTCTCCACAGAACATTTTTCACAGAATCACAGAACAGCCCAGGTTGGAAGGGACCTCAAAAAAACCCATGAGCCAAAATCTCGTGGGAAAGAGAGCCCAGATGAGATTACCCAGATCCCTGCCCAGGTAAATCCTGTAAACCTCCAGGGCTGGGGACTCTGCCACTGCTCCAGTGATTGATTATTCTCACTGAATAAAAAAAAAT